AGGGAAGAGCTCCCCAAGCTACAACCAGCTCAGGTCAGCTCCAGCACCAGCAGAGATGAAGTGACATCACATGCAATTGCAGCAGAGAAGAAACAATTAACAGATCAAGTCTATCACCATTAAACAGCTAAAGTAGCTTTACAGGCCTAAACTAATACCCTGTGTGGCACTACACCAGCCTCCACAAAAGCAGCAAGTTGCTTAGATACACCTCAGTGTTTGCTGCATAATCTCGCATACCTTCTTAAGTATTCTGGAGCCATTACAACTTTTATTATTTTCAGAGCACATGCACAGAGCAACACTGATAGCAACCAAAAACCCATTTGCAAAGTCTGAAAGATTACTAAACGAGCAGCCACACAAAGTCTCACATCCGAGATAATCTCAAAACAACATATGCAACTCCTGAACCACTTACCTAAATGAATTTTTGCCTTGCACGGTATTGTGAAGCTAAACAGAAGAACCTAATTTGTATCCTCAGCTGAAGACTGCTGTTATCTGGGGGGAAGATGTACTTCAAACTATGCAAAGCTAAAGCTAACTTGGCTTTCTTGCACATCACTATGTAGAAACAATTTTATCATACACCAAAAAAAAAAAAAAAAAGCCCATATACTGATTCCCAAGATACTTATAACATATGCTATGGCCACTTAAAGATTTCTCTAGATTTTTTCTGTTAGAAATGCTCTGATGGCACAGGCCTCCAGACAAATTATGATAAACAGCTTCTCACCCATTCCCACAAATATCCACCTCTCCTTTCGCTATCACATTAATTACCAGCCCTCATTTCCAAGATGCCTCACCACTTCATTTCCTCACTCATCATCACTGGTTCACAACTGCAGACTCCATCCTTATCAGACCAGAATACCTGCTTCTGTTGTCTACTCATTAATGTTTATGACAACCACGTGCCTTCCCCCTCCCTTCACGCAGACGTGCCTCCCATGCCTGCAAGGAATCCCATGCAAACATTCACAGTTCTAATTCACTGCTCTCCCTTATCTCTGAAGGGAAAGTAATGCCAACATCCAGAGCAACACTACACTCCTCTCCCTATGCAGGGCTTAAGGCAACTCATTTCATGCACAAAATGCTTTAGGAACAGTTTAAATAAATAAATAAATACCCACGCACATGAAAGCTTACAGGCCTTGAAAACTGATACGGAAACATTGAAAATGTATCAAAATGTGGTTTCGTTTATAAGGTGGTAACATTGTTGCTAAATAGAAGTAGAGGGTCTGTTTAGCTTTAGGTATAAACAGTGTAACCGTATTGCTATTTTTAGCGGAAACACGGTTAGATTAGGTAGAAGCGTTTCTCTGTTCTTCGTTAGAATTAAGCGCAATATACTCTCACTATATACTCTCACTAATCTACAACATTCATAGATATGAAAACAGAATCCACACTTGCAGTAGCCTCATAACCTTTCAGGAGAAGCACTGTGTCTGTCCTCACACAAAGACTACAATTAATTTTGTATTAAAATATTCTAAATCCCCCTGGTTTACCTATTTTCCCCTTCCAAACCCAAACACATCAATGCGTTTTAATCAAGGAAAGGTCAAGGTATCCGGCACAACAGCACCCTACTTCAGGCTTCACAAATAGTTTGTGACAAGTTTCATATTATGGCAATGCAGATTAAAAAAAAAAAAAAAAGAATCAAGATCCATTGGTGAGTTGAAAAGCTCCTTGCTACATAAAATAAAACCAATCAAGAGAAAGAAAACTATCCCAGACAACATATGCTTGTGTCCTCACACAACTGATAGCATCTCACAGAAAGCAGCTTGCATGTCAGAAGCTTCCTTTTCATTATAAGTTTTCATGCTAGTATTTCCCACTCATAACTGTAATAGAATGGGGGAGCGTAACCTGCTCCAGCCCACATATTTTGAATGGCAGCTCTCTCCTTCAAGCCTTGTTTGACTTCCACCTTTCTCACAAAATTTGCTCACACAAGGTAAGAAACAACAAACCATACAGCAATGCTTATACTGATTCTCCAAGAGCGTTGTACCTCAAGTTACCTCATAAGGTGACAAACAAATAAAAGCAGAAAAACAAAAATTAAAAAAAATTCAATTATGATTTCCACCCTATGCAACTAAAAATTAACTCCTTATCACATTTTCCTTTCTACCTTCCTAGATCTTCATTGATAGGAAGTTATTACATATACCACTTCTTTCATCTACCACCTAAAAATCCAGCAGTTACAAGATTTGCCCTTTTCTCCTCTGCTAATTCCTTACAACACACAACTCGAACACTACCATTCAACTATCCACAACACATTGTAAAAGCTCTTCTTGCAGCCTATTAAATCTCTTCTGCATTTATGCTCTGCTAGCCCAAGAGCATGGCCATGGTTATTCTCACCACAGTTACATAGAACAAGACACTTTCTCGTGCAACAAAGTACATTGGCTAGAAGACCTTCTTAACTGACAGAACAGTTCAAAGGAGGAACTGTTTCTTAGATTGCCTGAATTTGGTTTGATGTGGTTTTAGGTTAGGTATGAGTTCTGCTAGCAGCTTAATGACCACACATCCCAGGGTAGGCTTGTGAGGTGCAGTTCAGAGCTCACTACCAAGCCCATATTAACCAGGACACCTGCAAGGAATTCCATCCTCTTCCAGGACATTCAGGAGCAAAACAAGCAAGTGTACCCAGAGACAAACCACAAGAACTACCCTTTCACATGTTTCAGAACTACAGTGTTAAAGGCCACATACCTGAAACACTTCCTTCCAACAGCAGCTCCCAACAACTTCACCACCAGCCCCCACTGAAAGTAGTGGGGCAGCTTCCTGCCCCATTTAAGACAGGTGATTCCCATTACCCCACCCAAGGCATATGTGCTGCTCCTTCCCCACAGGAGTCAATCATCATCCATCTCCTGTCTCACCTGCTGTTGCTACCCCTTTGCTGGGACTGCTCCCAGGAGAAAGTTACAGGACATTGTAGCTAAAGCCTGTAAAATGCATTTTCCCTGTCTCTGTGCAAATCCTGCAAGGATCTCACCTCCCACCAACACAGCACACCTTCTGTCTGAGAACCACTAATAATTTCCTAGCTGGCCCTACTTCCTCTCTCACAGCAGATCTTATCTCTGAATATAAGAATACATCTTTTCATTTAATTGGAAATAATCCAAACAAATTTGAAGACAGCTATATTGCATTCCCCCTCTTTAAATGTTAACAGTTTTGTCACCAAGTTATCAATATTTTGAAATGTTTCAGGTACAAAACCGAATGTATCTAATAATTCACACAATATATGCTGAATCCTATGGCAATGATGAAATTCAACCTACGTGAACTCTCACATTGAGCCAAAATCAGGAGTTTTCTCTATTTACATTAACTGCAAGTAAAACTGCACTTCATTTTTTAGTGTTGATTAAAATTAATGGCTTTCATGCAGGTAAATGAAGTGTACCTCTCCTGTCCAGTTTAGTTTTCCTACAGAGTGGCAAATGCCTGTGCCTGAGAAGAAACTAAGCAAGAAAAAAGATCTGCACAGAAAGTAAAATGGATCACAGTTTTGGTTTCCTTTAAATACAGAAACGTAATGACTGGGCTTCTTTTCCAAGCAGACACCTAACAGCAACTCCAAATATTTTTATCAAGAACAATCCATTTATCCTTCCTTTTATTTTTCCTCTTTCCACAAACAGCCTCACACTTTCCTTTTTTGAGACTTCAAAATAAAGACTTTCATACTGCTAACTTAAGTCATGCAAAGTTCAAAAACAGTATAAATGCAGAACATTAAGAATGGAAATCTAAATGTACATTAATTGCAATCAGTACTCAACAAAAATCTTATCCTTAATAATCAAGAAAATTCAGAGTATGTATTTATTAAATCATGGTCAGAACCAGGAAATGAGGAGTGTATTGCCTCTTCTATCTCCATTTACAACTGGAAAGGATAACAAGCGATTATTTGTTCAGATTTCTATTTTGCTCTAAAGTAGGCCAGCCAGCTCAGCACTTTTCTTAAGATTATGAATACTTGTCTGCCCTACATATGGTATAGGGTAGAACCAATCAGATGAGCTCAAATATGCAACAAACCCAATTGTTTTCATGCTATTCATTTCCAGCTATGAAGAAGAACTGCACAAAGCAGGTATAAAAGGATCAGATTTTAAGTAGTTTTAAATTTTTCTTTATAACTTTCATAGTTCACTAAGGAGTTCAATGATTTCCTCACTATTGGAATAACAAACTAAATTCAATAAAAATTTGTTATTCACTAATAACTCTTTAACAGCTTGTTTTCTCCACTAGTTTTCATTTGATTTTTGTACATTGGTTATCTCATACAATAACAAGAAAACTCAGTACTGTCTGTATTCAATAGACTTTCACAGTACTAGGACATTCAGGATGCAAACATGCTCTGCAAGTAACCTTAAATCAAAATTTAAAAAAAATATGAAACAAAATAACCCCTTGAATTTCTAAGTGAAATACTTCTATTTGCTCTCTCCTCCATACAAGCCATCCATTAGAGTTTTGTTGCTATTCAGAAAGAGAAAGGTTAAATAATAGAAGGTTGTTTCCTTGAGTTCAACTCAAAATAGCAACATCTTTAAATTAAGTCAGTTATTTGGGAATCCCAGTTGCAGAAAATGTTTTGCTTAGATTGATTTTAACTTCTTTTTCTTAAAGTTAACTAGTCTGATTTTCTAGAGCTAGATGAAGTGGAGTAATGACGTTGAAAATATCAGTTAACTCTGAAAACAGAAATGTTCACTTCTTTCTACTTTTAAGGTATAATCATTGACAAACCATTAGTAAGGCATTTCTGTTAGATTACACGATTCAGGACTATTGGTAGGCATCAGCAGCAAGGCAGACAAAACAGAAAGTTACAAAGCAAGTTTGTTTAAAACGAAGACAATATACTGAGTATTTGGATGTACGAGACATAGCATTTTTGCAACAGAGGAGAAGCATACCTTTCATTAGCTGCAGAACCTTGATGTCAGGTGACAATATAATCCAAATGTGTCTCAGCAGCATTTTACACAATATCCACAAATTTCGGCAAGAGGCTCCTCCACTTCTTCCAGAAGTTATGTATGAATCCAAATGTTTAAGACATTCAGCAGCTGTATGGTACAGTTTGTACTGTGTTAGCCACCCCTGAAGAATCCCAAGCTGTATTCCAACACTCGGAGAATAATGCAATATGGCACCTATCACACACTGATGTTTTGGCAACCATCCCATTTTCCCTGACGACCATGTTTTGACCTGTTCAAATAAAAGGAAGAAGTGTTAGTTCAGCAAAGTAACTCTGCCGCACTGCTCGGGGACTAACGTACAAATATAAAGTTACATTCTTCTGAATAATTTCAAATACATATTTCTTCACAAATTTAGGCACATCCTAAACTCGAAGCCTGGTGACAGCACTTCACTTTAAAAACATCACCACACTGAAGTGTAACAGAAGATGCTTTAAGAAAAAGATTTTTGCATTTCTCTACACATTTTACAGTCTTACGTTACAGAAAGCACTGAAGTGACAGGAAAGGAAGGTAATATAAAGGCTTTTCAGCTGCCCTAGCAGGTATTTCAAAACTCATGAAAGAATAAGCTGATAAAAAAGCCCCAAGTAACAAAAATAAAACTCTTCAAACCTTTTGAAGGAATCATATAAGGATGGTGGATATAGTGATCTTTTCTTCCCCCTTTAGCCCTGGCTCAGCATTCCCCCAAGGCATCTCCACCAGCATATGTACTACTACAGCCAGGACTTTTGCAACAAGCATCATTGTTGACACTTGGCCCAGCAAGGAGCAAAGCCAAAGGAACCAAACCTGTGTCTGTCTATACTGGTGCTGCTCCTTCAGAAGTACCAACAGCAAATTTTTTGCTTAGGTTGGAAGGGGAATATGAGGAATGGAAATAAAAGTTTGAGCATTCCGCACTGGAAGGAATAACAATGTGGAGAACAATGTCGGGTCTATCAAGCTGGAGAGGGGGAAAGGGAAAAGAACAAACTTCCACACCAAGGATGACGAAGAGGAACTAGAAGAAACTCTTAGGGACTGGAAGATGCATGTGCACAGAGATAAAGAACAAGGAGAAAGGTTCATATTGATGGATGAACACGAATTTTTGTTAGAAGCTCTGTCTGCATAACTGAGTAACACGCATGTAGGGCAGAACACAGAAGAAAAATTTTAGAAGAGGAAACAAGAAGCTTCTATGTTTGCTTTACATCAGGAGAAACCTGAGCGTATTTATGCATGCATGAAAAGAAAGATCCTGGCAAAAGAGTTTTTCATGGGAAATGCAAGCAAGCATACAGGTAGAAGAATAGGTGGAAAGGGACCATGAAAAAGGAGAATGAGTAACAATAGAAAGTGGAAAAGTAGAGACCTCAGAAATTCTGAAACAGATCTAAAGTTGGAGAGGGACAGTTGGCAAATTAGGACAAGAAAATAAAACAGGATAAGGAAAGTAGTGAACTGGGATGAAAAAGGAGGAAAAGTGGCTGTTGTTACATGGCACAGAAAAATGGAAGGGGAAATAGTAAGAGACTAGATTAATCAAGATAATTAAGCAAAGCACAAAGAGCACTCAAGTAAGTTTTCTGAAGTTGTGATGCTCACTCTAGAAAGCGGGAATACCAAAAAGAATGGAACAACACCCAAGGCGACTACTGCTCTTTCAAAGGGACGAAGCGGACAGAGCTGCGCAGGAAAGGCCAAGCCTGGACTGACCCTTCCCACTCTCCCGCCCTGCTATGATCGATGCGTTCGGACGAACAAAGTCCTCCCTCTAAGTCTCTCCCTTTCTAAAATTGTCCCTCCGTACTTCTGCGCACCTTGCTCCCCTGGGATGGTCCCACAGCAGCAATGTGTGACCCTCTGTTGGGTGTTCCTCGTCTCCCAGCCCTGGCTGGCACGCAGCAGAGTACCCCTTTCGCCCTTCCTGTACCTTGCCCAGCCCTCCAGCACCCACTCCTTGGCCAGGGCCCCCAATACCCCTTACAATCCCAATAAGTTTTCCCTGTCTTCAGCTTTCCTCTGTCCCAACTCTCAAAAACGCTGCCCGACACAGAAAGCACTTTAAGCCCACTTCCCTCCTCCCCCCCTCCCCCCCAAAAAAAGAAATAAAACACTAAAACGAAATACAAAGCAAGCACAAGGAGGAGGCAAGACCCCCCTGAGCAGTGCCCCCCAGCCTACATTACCGCAGCTAGGGCGGAATGATTGCCTTAGCCTCCCCAAAATACCTGCATGTGCTCCGAGAAGTACAAAGAAAAGGCTTGCTGGCCCGTAGCCCCCCCACTCCCAGCCCAGAGGGCAGCTTGTGGGGAGGGAGGAGGGGGGGGGGGCAACGAGGGAGCCTACGAAGAACAATAACCGACGAAGTCCGAACGTACCTTAGCCTTTCTTTAAACTCTGAAGCCAGATTTCCTCACGAGCCTTGGCGGGGCCGCTCACTTTTAAGCGGCGGGAGAGCTCGGAGAAAGTTGAGTAAATCTCTCTGGATAAAGTTGCCGAAAATGAGATAACCCGGGAGAGGAGGAGAGGGAGAGATGGAGAGTTCATCCGAGTTTCTCCTTTTGTTCAAGTTGCCCGAGCAGACAAAGAGCCGGCAGCGGCGGCAGGTCCCCCGCGGCCCGGCCCCCCCTCCTCTCCCGGCCGCAGCCGGGGTCCCGCACACCCCCCAACCCCCCCCTTCTCGCAACTTTCCGCCTTCTCCATCCCTCCTCCTCAACCCCGTCCCCGTCCGTGGCGCAAAACTTCCCTCGAACTGAACCTCCCGGAAAAAAAAAAAAAAAAAACAAAAAGAAAAAAATTAATTCAAGGGGGGGGGAGGGGGGGAGAATGGGGGGTGGAAAGGGAGAGAAAGATCTCTCAAATCATTATTTCCGGTAGATGCACCTCTTTGTTTGGATTCCCCTGGCTGTCAGTGTCAGAAGCCCCGAAGTATCTGGTTTCGGTCAGTTTGATCTCCCGGAATGAGACGGGCAAACGCAGGACATAAAGAAAAATAAGTTTAAAAGAGAAGGAAAAAAAAAAAAAAGAAGAAGAAAAAGAAAAAAGGAAAACCTCCGGAGTTGCGAAACGAACTCTTTTTGCATGGACACGGGAAGTACATAAATAAACAACTGAAGGGGAATTTGGGGAAGACTGTTGCTTCTGCTCCCCCTCCCCTTCACACTTTTCCAGAGACCGTAACAAAAAAGCCCCCCGAAAGCTCCTGGCCACGGCTCCGTGTCACCACCAGCCTCTGGCATCCCTACCTGTTGCGTACAGCGCGAAGACGAGGCCGACAGCATCCGTTCCGAAGAAACAAGAAGGGAAGGTGGGGGCCGCCCGCAGCCCCGCGGCCCTTCACCTGCCCTCCGGCCGTCCCCACGGGGACACCCGCCGCGGGCGCTGCCGGCAGCCACGGCGCGGCCCCAGGCGGAAACCGCGGCTGCCCCAGTACCCTTGCCCTGCCCCGGCCCGCAGGCGGCCGTCGGGGCGCCGAGGTCCTCGCCGAAAGTTTGGCGGGGCGGGGCGGGGGTGCGCGGCGGCCTCGCACCGAGACAAAAGAAACGCGGAGCAGGGCTGCGACTCACCTTGAAGGAAGGGAGGCTGGAGAGACACCTTCCGCCTCAATTCTCCTCCTCCTCCTTCCCACTCTCTGGCCTGTGGCGACGGCGGGGTCGCGGGACCGGCTCATGCTGTGGTCGGGCGCCCGGCCCGACTCGGCTCGGCCCGGCCCCGCCAAGGGTCCCTTCCCCGGCGCAGAACAAAGGCGCGGGGGAGCAGCACCCCCGCCCCGCGGTGCCTAACTTTGTGGTGCCCGTCTCGCACCCCGGCGTCCCGGCCCCGCGCGAGGGGAAAGGCAGTGGGAAGCGGGGCGGCCGCCTGGAGCGGGACCCGCACGTCGGGGTGGTGGGGCCGGGGCTACCGGCAGGGCGGGAGCAGTGACGGGGGGCTGCCGACGGGGAAAGGGGGAAAGCATGGATCTACAGCCCTTTGTCTGCACGTGTATGTGTATGTGCACGATGTCTGTGCTGGCACAGGCTCGGGGCAGCTCTGAGTCGTGTATGTGTCCCCCCCTCCCCTGAGCCCCAGTCATTAGGCCACCGTGCTGGAGCAGGCTGCCCTGGCCTCAACGGTACTCAACTGTGGCTTGGTTTTCGGGGGGTTGGTTTTGTTTGGGGTTTTTATGGGATATTTTTGTCTTTAAAGAATAAAAAAGAAACCTTGAAGAAGTTACCAGGAATAGGCAATTAATAGCAGCCCATACCCAACATGGTAGGGCTAGTCTTTCAAAGTCAGAAACCAGAAGATGGTCCTCAGATGTGGGGTTTTTTTAGAAGAAGGAAAAACAGGATGGGAAGGGCACAGCATTTAGCCTTTGGTGTCCTATTGCCACCTCCTACAACCCCTGCTTACCTACATCCCTTCCTATTTCCCTTCAGTTCATACTAGTTTCATGCTAGCAATCCAACTTGTCTTTTTTTCCGCTCCTTTCCTGCATGCCCATCTTCACTAGTTTTGAAGCTTACTCAAACCAGCCCCACCTACCCAATGCCATCATCCTTAAAGTAAGTCTTGTTCCTCAAAACATTTTGCAACTCCCCACTCAGGATCAATTTTTTAACCCTCCTGCTCCACATTGCATGCTCTGTACATTGCTCTCAAATATTCCTATCCTATGTTCTGCTGCAGTGTACTTCACTGTTGGTTTTCAGTCAAAATTCGTGAAGTGAAATGGTAATACATAACAGTGTAACACCAGGAACGTAAAATGCTTCCTTATAGTCATTCTTCTTTACCACTCCTTTTACCTTCTTCTGCCCTTCTTCACTGTATGCTCTGGAGCAACTATCATTAAACTTATACAATTTCCTCCTAACTTATTTTCTATAGACTGTTTCTCCTTTCCCTCCATTTATGACTGGTCTTAGATCTCTATTCTCTCCATCTACACTATTTCCATGGTTTTTTTAGCCATCTTTCTTTTCCCTCCTCCTCACTATTTTTTTCTTAAACCTTCAGTTTCACAGAAGGAAGATGAATGTTGACTGCACCGTAGCCCTTTCATTACTTCCATTCTTATTTTCTCTGCTTTTTGCACGTACTGTTTTAGTAATGCACACTGATGGCCAGCCAACATGTACTCTTCTGTTAGCACGTATACAGTTTTTGCCAGATCTTTCCCAGATGGGATATCTCTACCTTATTACTTCATTATAAATGACCAAGACTAACCAATCATTGGACCAGAAGCCATCCTTTGCATAAAGTCCCAAAACAATGACCCGATTACATCCAGTATACACAAATGAAGATAGTTACAGCTGATATATAGCTAAAGAGTTACCTGGGCAACAATGAGAAAAAATAGAAAAATTAATTGAAAGGGCAAAAATACCAGAAGTATTTCAACAAAATTTACTGTGTCTTAAAGAAGAGTTTATTTGATGGATAAAAGGCCATCTGCAGTCAAGACAATAAAATGTGGTTAAAGTCCGTTTGTGGTTCATTGACCAGGTAAAGGCAAGTATTAACAGTAAAAAAGGAAAACCTAAGCAGCAAGAAAAAAGAAGCTATTGATGATAAGTAACATGAAACAGAAAATGGATGTACAAAATTATTTGGAAAAGATAAAGACTTAAAAAAAAATGTTTGTCTTTGGAAAAGAGAGAAATATAGAAAATATCCACATCTGGAATGGATGGAATTCAAATAATTTTACCATAAGTGAGGAATGAAGCATCTCCTGACAGTGCTCATAGGCCTGTCAGTAGACATAGTAGCATTTGTAATTTTAATGATACAAAATGTATTGTTAACAATACCTGTGTTCTGTAAGTGGAAAGATAAATATTACACAGAGATCATGGCCTACTCTTTAGTCTTTGGGCAGCACCTAGCTCCAATAAACATTAAATCCTTAACCCCATATGCCTTGCATCCATGGAATCAGAAAACGTTTGGCATTTTATGTCACAATGATGTTCAGTTCAATAAAACCTGGAATGACACGGAAATTAGGGGAATCTATTACCAACATTGTGTCAATTTGAAAAAAAAAAGGGTAAACCACATGACCCAGATTGCAATACTCCATTTTCCTGACGTTTGTCCCTTAAAAAATAGTGGAAAGCCTGACATAGGTTTGAACTCGAGGAGAGCCAAAGATAGGAATAAAGATTCTAAGGCAATAATTCTTCTTTTTTGCTGTGTCTGCTGGTTTTACTCTGTCTGTAGGAGGGATCCAAGTGTGCATTTACTGATAGCTGCACATGATGACAGCTGGTTTGAAGAAAGCCACAACAGTGATGAAATTACACATAGAGTACCAAAATTTAAACATTTCAAATGACAGTGACCTTATTTGTTCTGGCTCCCAAATAATGGGTACAAGTGGCCTAAATTACCTGCGTTTAGCTTTTAAATCCTTGATTACCCCAGTGACCAATCACATTCTTAATTCTTTCATTCTCAGATATCTGATCTCTTTCTGTGTCCATATCACTTTTATTCTGCTTCCCAAGCTCCCCTGATGAAGGGCTTTAGTGATACTCACTTTAGACATAAATTTAGGCATTTTATGATAAAAAAGTTCATTAAATCATCATATAAAAGGTCAAACTAGGCAGAGAATGTAATCCAGTTTCTCCTGTATTTATCCTGTTTGGCCATATTCTTCTGAAGTTCAGCTTCAGAAAGATTTCCCATTTTGCTAAAACATTGTGTGATGCACAGTCAACCACTTCCCGTAAGAACTAAGTCAGCTATAATGCTATAAAAAGAAAAGCTGTATTTCAGTTTAAATCAGAATTTGTTTGGCTTTAGCTTCTAGTTACTTTTTTTAATTTGTTTTATGTCTCGCCACCACATTAGTGTACAGCTAATTTTATAAATAGGGGCCTGAAAGCAAGACTGGCTGCATACGACAGGAAACCTTCCTGCAGAGCTAATGCACTTACAGGATTTTTTAATCTCTTTGAGGGATTACTTGCATTAACTTGTTTAGGTTCCATTACATTTACCAAGAAAACATACAATTGCTTAAAGTTCCCCAGCTGAGTGGGTTTGTGGGGCTGTGACACTCATTTAACATCTGGTTGCCACGCTAATGGCAATGGTCATTTTGAAGCATGTGGTGGTGCCACAGTGATCATGTGAAGACTGGCACCCCAAAACTGGGAATTTTGTGCAGATGCTGTAAGCACCCACTATGCAGATCAATGCAAAGGGCAGCCCAGCCTGGAGGAGGGAGCTGGGGTGCTGATTATGTCTTACTCCCATTACACAACATACATGTGGCTTTTTTACTTCCTTCGTAAGTTTTGTTACACTGGAAATGAGGGAGTTCAAAAGCACATTGCCTGCAGACGTCTCCAGACTAAAGAGCCAATTGTCCTTTACCTGCTGCTTCCAAGAGGTTGGATTTGAAGACCCACATGGCTCTTCTGATCTTTTTTCCTGGCAGTGTCAGAAAAATTCAGACTATGCAAGATCCACTAAACCACTACCACAGAGCTCCCCAGAAGAGAGGATTAGTTTCAATTCTATTTTAATAGATGCCACAGGAGATGACAAACTTCAGGAGGGAAGTCAGAGAAAAGTTAGCATACGTCAGCTACAGTAACAGTCTTTACTTTTACTGTGAGAAAAGACTGCACAAAATGACATTTATTGGTTTTTGACTGCACCTCCCAGAGAAGTGAACTACTACTCATCTTCCAAGGGCATCTGACCATTTTGACTTGCTTATAAGATTCTGGATGTTGCCATGTATAGGAAGGCAGGCAGTGGAGCAGAATATTAGCAAAAAGGTGGTCTTTTAGCAAATATTTCAGAGCCCCTTCTGGGGTTTGTTGCCTTAGTAATTTCTTGTTTCTCCTTCTGGTTTACTGTTCTATATACAGAGGCTGATTTCACCATTGCTTTCTTTTGCAGAAGTATGAATCAAATCATTAGGTCAATCCAATTCTGCAAATGTATAGACCAAGACAGACAAAGCTGCAAATGAAAGAATTGTTTTGGCATGGATATATTCTTGTCTGGAGACACATACTCAGCAAATAAGTAGGATGTTTATTTTAAATCAAATAAACAAACCCCCAAACCAACCCTGCTTTTTTTTCTATCCAAAAGGGTATCAGAGCATGAGCTTTCCACCACTGCATTCTTTTGAATCACCTAAACAACATCCATACTCTAGAGAGAAAAAATACTATTTGTAATTGATTCTCACCTGCCTGCATTTTCCTTATGTTTTCCTGTAAGCCAGAAAAAGGGTACTGATCTCTGGTCTTGTTTTCTATCAAGTGCCTATCTTGATCAAGCCACAGAAAATCTTAGCTCAGAGAGCCCATTAAAACAGCTTCTTTTTAGGTATGTACACCAGAGCCTCTTTGATACCTCCCTTTATATCTCCCCACCTCTCCCACCCACCTGTCTATTTAACCCACCCTTTTTATTTGGCAAATCAGTAAGTTGACACAGACTTAGTTCCATTTTAACTGTTTCTGTCACTTTTCCCTCCAGAGCTTATGGTTCTTCTAACAGATCTTGTACAAGGATCCCTTGAGAAATAGATAATTCC